CTCTTTCCTGCCTAGGCAGGGGGTTGGACTTGATTACCTGTTGAGGTCCCTTCTGACCCTAGCATCTATGAATCTTCATACATAGCAACTAAAAACAAGAATCTTCCCAGAGCTAGTGTGCTCCAAGACAGCCTCATGGGTGAAAACCCATGCCTGTTCTTCCTTGCTATGACTATATAATAATCATAGTTTCATAGTTGGTAGGGTCGGAAGGGACCTAAGGAGATTATCTAGTCCGACCCCCTGCCGTGGCAGGAAAGAGTACTGGGGTCAAACGACCCCAGCAAGGTGTTCATCCAGCCTCCTTTCTTCCATTCATTTATTAAATTAGTCGTATTAGTATTTTTTGATAAAGAGTCGCATCAAAAATCAAATCAATCATTCTCTATCTGCCAATATACTAGTTTAAAGCTTCTGCTTTCTGCTAGTCCATCACTGAGTGGGGGTTACCTTCTCAACACCACTTGCTTCCTCTATTAGACATGGCAGAAATATGGACCACCAAAGCAGCGAATATTTCTTAGAGCTAGAGAAAAAGGAGAGCTAACAAACATTTCCTCAACTCCACTCAGTAAGTGATACAAGGCCGATCTCAGTGATCACTGAAGTTACAGCATTTCATGTTCCCACAAAGAAACAGTTAAAGTAACATCACTTGTCCTACTTCCAAGAAGAGGATTGCAGAATCGCAGGTCTCAATTTCAGTAGTCAAGAAAAACCAGGAATGAGTCCACATTCCAACACAAGTTTCTCTCTCCAGTTTTCTTAGACTGCTTGTTTCTAAAAATGCATGGAAAGGATGACCCACACTAACTGCTCACATCTGCTATTCAAAAAGAAAGGGGAAAAAAAGCTGTGAGAATGAATCCCTGATCTACTAGGAATTTAGGTGCAAGGCTCAGTCTATTTGGTTCAAAGTAATTACATTTTCCACATTTTTCCTCCCATCACAAAATTCAAAGCAACATACAATGGCACTGTAATCATGAAAGAAATTTTCCACACCATCCAAATATAATAAAAATAATACAAGCAGCATAAGTGAAGACAACAACCACTTAGAGGGCTGCTTAAAAAGAACAGTTCAGCAGACAAAGCCCTTTATACAGAAATATATGAATCTGAATAGACAATGAGAAAAAACAAGAGCATGTAATTTCAGTAACATCTTCAAGGTGAGCTGCCTTCAGACTTGACTTTTCTGCTCCATTCC